TTACATTTTCATGTTATCAAAATTAGATTACAACCACGCCCACCTCCCATATAACATAACTTTAAATTCCATTTGATATTTTCACTTTCCAGTATACAAATCATGCACCAAAAAAGTTAAATAAAATCTCGAGCAAACAAAATTGGACTCAAACTCACAAAGTGCAACATAGCTCCTTTATGTAAGGCTATATATAATTCAACATAGTACCGCATGAATGCTATAAAATCTGAAGAGTCTTACTCTGGCTAATGTGTTAAGACCGAAAGTACTGATGGAATGGAATACACACTGTAAGCACATTTGTATTAAATTTAATTGGGTTTAAGTCACTCCAGCAACTAAGATTTTGCGGATTTCACTCGTAGATGGCTTCAGTTGAATTTTTAGGTTTGCTGGCGTAGTCCAAATGTAAAACACAAAAAGTTATGTGCTGTTTATGGCGACGAAGCCATAAAAGAACGGCAACGAATAGGATCGTCACAGTACAACAGGTGAGATTGCAGGAAAGCTTCAGGTATCACATACATGCATTGAAAATCACTTAAAACAGCTTGGCTATGTTCAAAAACTCGATACATGGGTTCCTAACGAACTGAAAGAAACGCATTTAACGCAACGCATTAACAGCTTCGATTTGTTAAAGAAACGTTTACAACAATATCGAGCGAAAAAGATCGTGGAGCAGGCTAGGTGAACCAGCTCAAACAACATCAGAAGCTGGTATTCATCAAAAGGTTTTGTTATCAGTTTGGTAGGATCAGAAAGGAATTGTCTACTTTGAACGCTTACCGCCCAACCGAACGATCAATTTTGTTATCTAAATTGAACAACTAACGAAATTAATCAATGCAGTTGAAGAAAAGCGGCCCGAATTGATAAATCGAAAAGGTGTTGTATTGCATCATGACAATGCAAGGCCCCACACATCTTTGGTCACTCGGCAAAAATTATTGGAGCTTGGTTGGGATGTTTTGCCATATCCGCCATATAGTCCTGACCTTGCACCATCGGATTAATTTTTGTTTCGATCTTTATAAAACTCCTTAAATGGTTAAAATTTCAATAATGATGATGATGTCAAATCGTACCTGATTCAGTTTTTTGCTAGTAAAAAAAAGAAGTTTTATGAAAGTGGGATTATGATGCTGCCTGAAAGATGGCAAAAGGTCATTGATCAAAATGGGCAATACGTTACAGAATAAAGTTATTTAGTTCCATGAAAAAATTGTCTTTGATTTTTTAAAAAAATATGCAAATACTGAGTTGCCAACCTAATATAGATTTATGTTAGAGCGATTATACAGACATGAGCCTCAACAACGTACTGGGCAGTGTCAGGTAACATTTTAGGAAAACAAAAGCACTCAACTTAAACTTAAAGAGACTGTACTGTTTCCTTGGGCTTAAATTCAAATTGTTTTTTGTCTTTTAGTGAACAGGTAAAAAAACCTTTTACAACTCTTTGGGAAAACTGAAGAATTTAAAATTAAGCTGGTTGTTTTTCATAGCAGGTTACGTAAGGTTAGGTTCAGAGGTCGATCCCAACAGTAGTCTCACTTGGAAAGCTTAGAACGGCGGTCCGTTGTGGTACCTAGTTATATACTATAGCAGAGGACTCTTACAAATCGGCAAAGCGCTATAGTCCTATCACAGTGAGACGGCTAGTGTCAGTTTGGCTATATCTTCTGGTTTGCCGAAGGTAGGACTACCGATATGTCTTAGCCTCAAACTTTTTAGCCTTACCGCAATAATGCCTATTAGGCAGCAGTAAGTTCTCCTACGATTGCGGCAAGATGAACTTTGCTCAAGTCAAGTTGTTAGGTAGATGTCCTGCGCGAAGGAGCTGATCTTTGATCACCGCATGCTAAGCCCCCGCGTGGTCCATTGAATCAGTGCTAGAACGCAAGACGTCAATGGAGATCCAACTAGATTCCATTCCGATGTGAGCGGAGCAAGGATCCTTCTGGCTAGCTTATCGGTTTGCAGAGTCCAGCGATTCCGCTATGTTCAGGTACCCAAACGAGTCTGATAATGAAGTAGCTTGATGCTATTTCTAGTGGTGACATACTCTCTTTGACTAGCTTTGAGTGCACAGTTAGCGAGCTCAGAGTTAATATTACCGCTCTGTGTCGGAGTGAATGCTCACCTCTCTGAAAGTAGATGCACTTCATAGCAGTTCGTCTACCGCCACCTTGATAGCACCACTTCTGTCGAAACCACTACAATAGTCGGTAGCCTAAAGCTAACTGACGGAGTGCTCCTTACAGAAAACTCTCCCTCCTAGCGTCGACCCATCCGTGAAAAAGCTCACTGCGATTTTCTCAGCGACTTCTACTCATCCACATATCCCTCGTCGGTATGTAGCAGCCGCGCCGAGTGGACTCTGCGACGCATTGATCCAAGTTTTCAACGAAAGCAGATGAAGGAGGAGAGAATTTCAGATGTTTCATTAAAAATGTTCTGCTCAATGAACATCCACTGCAGTAAGCAAATAATAAACAAAACAACTAATAAAACTGCGAACACTATCTCCCAAAAGTATGATGCATCAATTTGCATCAGGACTTACATACATCGTTACTACTGTAAGTGGGGTGCTATTGTGGGAAATAAATTGTTGGCAAGATAAAATAAAATTGTAGATTCCAACGAAAACCAGCGGACCACACATACTTTTATATAAATTTAGCAACAGTTTGTGCTTTTCTGCATTTTTTGTTTTTGCATTCATGAAACCAGCCGCATTGTTAACGCTGCATCGTTCAAATATGATTTTCAATTATTCCGAACAAAACAAAAGCGCAAATTGGCAAAAATCACGTTAACGCTGACCCATCAAAGCAGGGTGGCACAAAAATTGAAGTTCACAATGGAATTTTTTAATTTATTGCGTTTTTTGAATTTGTTGGCATTAAAATTATTAAAGTGAAAGTTTTTGGTTTACAAATTATTTTTGGATCTTCTGGCTATTTAGGTCGGCACATTTTGAAGGTGATCTTTGGAACATTCCTTTGGGAGCAGCAAAAACCTATATACTGGTTTAAGCTTGCCCATGTAGTTACATATAACATCCGTATATAATTTTACAAAACATTATTGGAAAGAGACAATTAATTTAAACGAATAAGAAAATTATTATTTTTAGGATCTTAAATAATGATGGCCACTTCCGCACATGTCTCAGATATATTTTTAGGTAGTAATAAATTAGTCTTCGAATAACACCAAAGCAGTTCCGAAGAAGAAACTACCTTAAAAATTATTCGGAACTAATCCCTAAGTAATTGAATTGGTTTCCAAATAAAACTGGAACTAGACACAAACTTGTTCCAAATTGTACTAAATTGGTTCCAAAATGTATTGAGTAAGATGTTTTTTTGCGAATATTTCCAATACACTTAGGCAAATTATCATAGAAAAAACCTTGATTGATGACCTTTCAAGCTCCTTTGCAATTACAAAATAATTGACTCTCTATGTGGCTTACATGCCGTGGGTCCCTACATTTTACAACTAAAGTATTAGGTAGATTGTGACCGAATCATATAAAGACTTGGCCTGTCAACCGGTACGGTCGCAAGCGTGGTTACGACTGACGAGTTGACTATGCCTGCTTATGCTATCGGCAGGACTGCATTCATAAAACATGAACATATTTTTGTGAGAAAGGGCTGAAAAGTTCATGTCATGTTTCAAAATATGTGACAGGCGTATTTTAATTATTTACAATAAATAGAATGTCCTGAAATTTAAAAGTCGCTACTAATTCGTATTTTATGTTCGAAGAGATTAAACATGTCAGAAATAGGTCCAATCATGTATTTTTTTTCTTTTGATATGTTTTTTTATTATTATTTAAGAACTCCTTTCCCTTTATTGATAAAATTTGCTGTATAAATATCCTTGTGAACTTGGCGTAGGTATCAGGATTGTTAAGTTCTCATATCTGAAACAGATTTCATGCAAAAATGTACATTAAGGGCCCATTTGCTGAATTAATTATAAAAATAACATCTTCAATAAACTACTAAACTACTAAAAATTTGTTTCTTAGCAAGAAAAATATGTTAACTTCGGCTGTACCGAAACTATAATAGCCTCCAGCTAATAGCAACTTTATGTATGTATGTAGGTATAGCTAAATCTGAAAACGTCACCGTCCAACGGTTTGCATACAACGATAAATTATTTACTAGTATTTATAGTCTAGTTGTTTGAAATTACCTAAAAATAAAATAAGATCTTTTATGAAGACCCTTAGCTTGATTTGAAAAATTTGTTCGGAGATGATAGCTTTGGTTTGACCAATAATCTGTAATAATTTTCTGAAGAAAAAATGTCAAATAAAAAAATTTTCCATACAAGGGCTTGATTTTGTACACTTTGTATGGCAGCTACATTATTTAGTGAGTCGATGTCGATAGTTTAAATAAGCAGCTTCTTAAGAAGAAGGGGGTGTGTGCAAAATTTGGGATGGATATTTCAAAAACTGTGGAGCTAGTTGGCGTATATATACACGGACATGACTAACACGTATCAGCTCTTTACGCTAAGCTATTTTATAAGGCATCCGATGTTTACTTCGTGGTATTGCAAGCTTTGTGGCAAATCCAATATAAGTGTATACAAATTTATATATTTTATAAAGATTTGAATGCAATATGAAATACCGAATAAACAGAGACACTGTTACAAGCACCTTACTTCTCTTTGTTTTTGTTCACACAATCGCTACTTGAAGATGATTTTAATGAGTCAGCAGGAATCAGCTTTTGATTCATAATTTATCTACCACTGTGATGGCATATGTAAATAATATTTATACTGAATTATAAACATGAATAAATATATGTATAACAAGCAAATGTGAATGGAGATCTGAGGCAAGAAGCCACTGGCTAGATGCCGCCCATTAACTTTGATTTAGCCCCTTTTCTTTTTTTTGCCGATAATTTCGATGCACGCGCAAGCATTTGTTCACGGTATCTGCCGAACTAACGCCGAGTTGTTAATGACAATTACAATTACAATTTAATGAAGCTTGTCAGATAAATTAACGTTTAATAAAAAATTTTGTAGAGCAAACGGCATTTGCACCGAATGTGCCTATAAAAACCATGTGTGATACCTTCGAGGTACATAACAAACCACACAATCGTTCAACCAGCAGCAACCAACCAAGCACGAACATGGGTGAACTTATTGTAAGTGCGGAAGACAGGAGCTGATGCTGAGCAAATTTTATACTGTAATGTATATTTCTTTTCTTTTTCTACAGGCTTTTTGCGTATTTATTGCCATTACCACAGCAGCGCCACAGCAGGGATACCAGTATGCCCCCCAAATGGCTATTAGTGGAGAGTTGACGCGTACGGTGCCGCAGCCACATGTCCAGTATAGTGTTATGTCACCGGAAACTGCTCAATTTCTGAAGGATATGCAAACCGTCATGGCCGTGCAATCAGCCAATTTGGCACCGAACTTGGAGCTCAACTCCCAGCCGCAATTAGTTGGTTTCAATGGCGAGCAATATGCTGCGATCAATGGCGCTAGTGCCGCTGCTTCCGCGCAGGCTTCTGTTGGTCAATCGCACGCTTCTGTGGCGCAACCGCAAGCCCGCTACTTGGTACCCACTTTAGCAGGTGGAAACTCTGTGCAGCAGCTGCAGTCCCAACAATTGATTTCACATCAGTACGCTCAGCAACAGCAAATCCCACAACAGTTGCAATTGCAACAACAACCACTATCGGTGCCACAGCAATCAAGCCAATATACACAGCAACAACAGCAAACCGTCGAACCTGAGACAGTTATCTCGAAACGCTTCTATCTGCATGCTGCACCTGAAGACGATGATGAGGAAGTGAAACAGCATCATGTGACCGTTGGTAAACCACGTAAAAACTATAATGTTGTCTTCATCAAATCGTCCGACAAGTCCAGATCGAAGGCGTCGTTTAAAATCACGCCCGCCGTTAATGAAGAGAAGACCATCATCTATGTGCTGAACAAGAAACAAGATGCGGCCGACATTGATACACAGGTGTATGAGCCGGTCACCACCACGGCCAAGCCCGAGGTATATTTCATTAAGTATAAGACAGCCGAAGAGGCGGCACATGTCCAACAAACTATTCAAACACAATACGACGCCTTGGGTGGTTCGACTCAAGTCACTAATGAAGGTGTCGCTCCGGTCAGCTCCGTCATTGGATCTCTAGATGCTGCTAAGCAAGCAGAAGCCGAGGCCGCCGTTGGCTCTGAAGTAGTCCAATCTGCGCCTAACGCTGAAGCTGTGGTGCCAGCTGCTGGCGCACAGTCATTAAGTGCACAGCCAGAGGAGCAATTGCAAATCGTTGAGCAACCGCTCTCACAAGGTTCCAACACCAACAAAGGTTATTTGCCACCATCCAGATATTATTTCCGTCAATGAAAACGCTCATTGTTTCGTTCATCGACGTTTATGCTCGTATTGTTGCCATGTGAATACTATCGTCGCGATAGTTTCATCCGAATATTTGATATATTGTTTTTGTTATATGACCTTGTTGTTGTTGTTGTTCTTATAAAGCCATGCTCTGCGGCTTAAATTAAGTTTGTTAAATATATTGTACTAAAAATGTAAAAAAATAAGAATAAGTAATTTTTTCGGTTCAAAGTTATCGCGGTTTCGAGTGAGATTGTAAGAAAACGAACCGGGGTTTCACAGAGTCGTAGCATACACTAGATGGCTGCTACTATGATCAAGGTCTCTAGTTAAAAGTTGCACATATCGTACAGATTTTGCACAGGTCTTTTAACTTCTACAAGATGGACCCGGTCGAATATTATTTTCTACGTTACGAACTTATTAGACTTACTTAGCTAATTAGAAATACTTAGCTTTGCTACATTTTAAAATATCTATAGCGTTTTGAACTTATTCATGGTCAGAAATGTTAGATCAATTCTCTGACGTAAAGTAAGCCTTTATCGCTAATAACTAATGTGATTCCAACCTTGCAGATATAGATCAACAGCAAAATTCAAAGAGAATGACATTCTGTACATCATATAAATATAGTTCCTGAAAAGGATAGCTCCTAAATCTGGAACATAAATGCCAGTCCTAGTTGAAAAATATTTTAATACATTAAATAAAATGTATATATGTTGAAAACTTCGAAAGTTTAGATCTTATAGATTATCTCTGGAAGAATATTAGCAAGCAATTATATCGAAACTTGGGTTCTAAGTTAAAAGTAACTTGTTTTAGCGGCATCTGTCCTTCGACCTAACTTAGTTTTTCTATATTTGATAGACCTCTAATTAAGCATTCTCCACTATATTTGTAAGTACGTGTCCGAAATGGAGCTCCAGAGTGTTAAGGATATTGTCGATTATAATACTGAGTTCTTGAACTTAGATTTTCCTGAAAAGAAATAATATATTATTTTGTTCGCGTTGCGCATATTTTTTTTTCCAAAAATTAATCCATTATTAACATACAATAAATCCCGAACTAAGGCACAGTTATAGGATAACTGTAAAAAAAAGTCTTACAACAAAGATCCCAATGGATTTTAACGCCCCTTCCAGGGTATCTACATAGTCTAACCTACAATTTCAGCATTCACACGTGTTGCACCCTACCAAAATTTACGCTGTCAAAGTTCAAGTCCATTAATTGAATGCCCCTGTACATGAAAATGATTTGAATGAAGATATTAATTAATTTGCGATGCGTTACTAACATAGACAAAACTATGTAATTTCACGAACAAGGTTAAAAGGAGGGGGAAAAAGTGAATGGTGTAGAAAAAATGTGCAGAAAATCGAAACACAAATGATTAATTATGATTTTTTATTAAATTTGTGAAGCAATAAAAGCGGAAAATAATTGAAAGGCTAAACTTCGCAACCAAATAAAAAAATACCGAGTGAAAAAGTGGCGAAGCGTTGAACAGAGCTTCGTGTTATAAAATATAACTGCACTGTCAGCCGAAAGCTAAATAAAAGCTAAGCCGTGACAGCGATGAGAGCGAGAGGAAATTTGACAAATTACTTTAATGAATTTTTTTTAGCAGCAAAGCAATTTTTTTTAACTGTAACTTTGTTAATTTAGTTCAAACATGCAACTATGCGTTTATTAATATTAATTTTAAATATTTGTTTGCACAGAGTGAAATTTTTTAAAAATTATTCCTTCGTTATAAAAAATTAAATATTGCGGAAAACAAAATGAAATTAAAACTAACTGTCCATTTATCACAAACTTTTTTGACATTTGTCATTCAGTTTATTAGCACAGATATGACAGCCATATTTGCTGTCACAGGTTACACATTTTATTGACTGATAAAAAAAGGCAAAATATTAAATTTAATTAAAAAACTTTTGTTGCGTGTGCGCGAACGCACTCACATGTACAGAAATGCATACTCATTTCTCACATTTATTTCAGTTAGGTCATGACATTATGAAACAAAATAAAAAAGAAAACAAAAATTAAATAAATTTTATAATTTGCGCATCCTATATTACCGTAATTAATTAGAAACACATATAAAGACCAGACTTTTTCTTGTACTCCATTGCCCAGCGACCAGCCTACAATAACATTGAACTAATTGTGTTTAATTTTTTATTTATTATTATTATTTTTTCTTTCTGTTTGTTTGTTTAAAGACGTTTTTGTAACACATTGTCTTGAATTGAAGCAGCATCGAATCTTTAATTATTTTCATGAAATTTAAAGCTACTTATTAGCAAAGACCTTACATTCATCAAATGCATCATTATTGGTGACGAAACGTGGGTTTAAACTACTATGGCGAAACTGTCCACCCAGGCGCTCAAAAAGAGCGGAAAGCAGAAAATCCAAAGTTCCCTGAAGGCACTAAAAGTCATCCCAGCCGAGGATTATGGATATATTATATTCAAGGCGATAAAATATTTGTATTAAATTTTTGAAGGTTTATAACTTTTTATACCCTCAATAGAGTATATTAAGTCAGTGACCCTATAAATTATTATCCTACTATTCAGGGTATAAGAATTTTTTATGGTATTAGACAGACCTGCAGAATGCGGCTTTAGAAAAGGTTGGAAAAAGGAATTCTTGTGAACATAAGGAATGGTGAAAAAAGGTCCCCTTGCGCTTAAACAGCTTATAACAGTTATAAAAAATCCTCTTTCTGCTAATGTCATATACCCAATTTGCAGCTATTTTCGGCTGCTTACTTTGCATGATAGAAACTTCATCGTCATTCCAAATTCGAATTGAAGAAAATTTGTATTTTTCATACTGCTGTTCTAACAAATTATAGAACTTGCTGACATTTTCAACATTGAATCCTTTTATTATGTCTAAAGAAGTACCAGTGGCACTTAATAAGCTTATTTCCCTTTGATGCCTTTTTAGAAAGACACGCAGCCAATCTCTCCTAGCGCATTCTTTGATTACAGAAAATGGGTTCTCATCAATATTGTTTCGTCTTGCTAATTGGAATGCAAGCTAGCGGACATCATTCGAGTTAGTCCCCAAAACTTTGCCTTTATTTCTTTCAAATATCTTACTAGCTCCACTTCCACATTCCGGTTAAAAACAGGCGCGGCTAGTATGTCGTCGACTGCTTTATAACTGCGTGCAGCTCTTTACACCGTTACAGTTGGCACACCATACGCCAAAAGTATTCCCATATTTTCGCCTCTTACAGCCTGAATAGCCTTTTTATATATTTTCTGCATCCCACTTGCGAATTTCGCCTTTCTTCGGCTTAGTCTAAAGATGTAATAAGGAATTGTTACTTTTACTCGAGTTTTCAAGAAAAAATATTTGCTTATAATCTCTCTATTATATATAAAAGTTTTCTGCTGCTGTCGAGAATCAACTAACATAAGAGCGAGCTAGATCGCGCTCGGCGGGGGGCGGACGTAGGCGAGCGAGCGAAGCGAGCGTCCCGGAGCGCAGCGGAGGGCGCCTAATAATTATATATTTAAAAATACCAAAATATTACGTGAATCATAATAAAATATATTTACGTAACCAAAATTAAATTACCAAAGTAATTTTCAGTAAACCAAATATATGTAAAAAACTCGGAGTAATCGTATATCCAGGCGCGGACTGAAATATTTGTGTCAGCACTACTGAAAACTCTTTTTCACGCTAATAGCAAACCAAAGCTTTAATACCATGCGTAATCTTGCCACAACAGGTTTTTATCGTTACTACTGTACTCACGAAAGAACTCTTATCAAAATATGTATAGTTTGTGAAATATGCGGGTATATCACTTTACCCCAACTTACTCTATGTATCTAGGGGCTAGGTGAGTTGTAGAGTAAACAGATTCATCGAAAGGTTTAAAGTGCGATTATATATCAATTACATGTAATTAGTTACCAAAAACTATTTTTGTTTTTATGGTATATTGAATTATTTCCAATTATTTAAAAAATCCTCCCTTAAAGCTGCCCAAAAACTGTATGTTGCATGTTTCTGCGCTGATTAAAAACGTGTATTGATCATTAGCTCTAAGATAATTTTTTTAGCATAACATAATTGTTGCAATTCAAGAGAATTTATTTTATCTTGAAAACACGACCGATTTAATATAATACAATAATCCAATAATAGTTATTAAAGCGTCTTAAAAACTTTTAGCGCTCAAACAAAGATTTATAGCATTTGATATGCATGAAAAAATGACAATATAATTATTCACGAAATTAAGATAAATTATTTTTTATATGCACACATATATACTCACATATATTATTAACAGGGTGCGTGGTTTGTATGAATATTAAAAACTTCAAAAAGCAATATTTTTTTTTTGTATTTGATTTCTTTAAAAATGTTATTATGAATATATTTCGAATATATGTATAAGTCAAGCTAATAGTCTGCAACATGTTCGCTTTAACCTCTGGAGCCTCGGAGGATCGCTGACGTACGCTTTTCTTTTCAAATAACTTTGTAACAATATGTCGAAGAGAATCAAATTTGGGCTTTAGTGTGATTAGGGAATTTTCGTTGCTCCGCAGTGTGTCATGGTGCGTCGTCTTGGTGTAACTAGTAACCGTCCTGCCGATTTATTAGCCCACATCCATTAATATCGATTTCTTTCAACAAATTCAGATTGTATGGACATAAAATAGCGTTTCATGTATCCTAAATCCTTAAGTCCGGAAGTTTTTTCAGGTTCCGTGTCAACCATTTGACCGACTGGGTGATTGTATTGCAAGCAATCTGAAGCATAAGTTGTCTGTACTCGTTGTGATAATTGTTTTTCAAAATCCCTCCAATCATTTTTAGTGATGCCAATGGCCAAAACTCAGAGTAAGTCGACGAAACGAGTGTGATAGATACTGGACAACACTCTTTCTAATGCTTTGAGTTTTTTTTTGCCGTTGATTCATGTTTATCCTGTGATGACCTCTCACTGGTCCGCACTCAACTAAGTTCGTGACCAAACGTGTTTACAGATAAGCCTTCGGTCACGATATTTTTGCCGATATAACTGAATTCTGAAAACTGAATATATACATACATATAAAATGTAATCGTGTGAAGCGGTTCATGAGTGAAATTTTCGAAGTTTCAAAACTTGTCTCATGAATACTAAAGTTATTCAATGTTAACAACCGATGCAAGCGAAGAAGCACCCTTTATGCCTACTATATATTATTGTTTGTAAGTTAACAAACAAATTGGCTCTTAGAAATAGCCAGCCTTCATTTGGAATGATTTAAACATAAGTTTATTTGTTTTGATTTTGTTGTCAACTAAAATGTTTTCATATTGGCCATCAATTATAGTGTCTTTTCATGACTTAGTTCCACAATTTGTTTACTTTTGCATAATTTTGCTACAGAGTATAATAGTTTTGTTCCCCACAACCGGTGTTCGTATCTCCTAAAACTCGAGATATCCGGGTGATTTCGTCCGTCGACGGACGTCCATCTGTGCAAGCTATAACTTGAGTAAAAATTTAGATATTTTGATGAAACTTGGTACACATGTTGTTGTAGATGGGCATAATCGGACCATTGCCATGCCCACAAAACATCGTTAAGTGAAAAGCAATGAATAGCCTTAACTAAGCTCCACAATAGGCTTCAAGGCTGTTACACATGACACATTAACATTTTTTAAAAAGTGGGCGTGGTCACGCTCTCTAATAAGTTTAATGGGCATATCTCCTAAGCCGCTGCAGCTGTATTAATCAAATTCACACAGGTCAAATATTTTTAGCACCCCTACCGACGGTGAGAAATGGGGTGAAAGCGGATGATAACCTCAACCAACCTCCATTAAACGGTTTTGTTAAAAACTACTTAAAGTGCGGTAAATATATAAGTAAATGCGTAAAAGGCATTTTACATCCGAGATGGTATAAGAGGGCTTTATTAGAACCATTGTCAAAATTTGATCTCTCCACGCCTACTTCTCATATAACACCATTTTAAATTCCATCTGATTATTTCACTTTCCAGTATATAAATTAAGCACCAATGAATATAACAGGATACAACATTTCACAAATAGGCCGACCTTATAACCAAAATTTGTCCAAATCGAACCAAAACTATTTATTCTCATAGGTATCGAATATCTGAACCCCGGTACTATTGCGTTCGTTTTATCGAAAATAGCGCTCAATCTGGGAGATATATTATAGAAGTACGGAGAGAATTATTTTCAAATATTAATATGCCTGTGTGTAAATCGGATCAATAATTCTTTTAATCCCCATATACCTAATAGACAAATTTTCGAACTTCCGGCTGACTATATCCCATATATCGGCCAATATGTGAGTTATCTCAATTAAATGGGATAAGCGTGTTTTTATAATAACAGTGCGTCTATGTGCTCAAAATGAATAAAATCGGCTGGAAATCTGTCCTAGCGCCATATAACTAATATCAGGATTTTCAAATCAGATTTAGAAACTCACAGAATATCTGTTTGCGTTAATAAAATTTAGTAATGCCAAAAATAGATAAAATTGGGTCAATATATCCCATATATTTGATAAATGATTTCGAAACTTCTGGTTGGCCTTATACCGTATATATCGGTCAATATTGTATACAAGATATCTTAGCAAAATTAACTGAATGAAAATGTGAAATTATAATATACTACATGTAATAATTTCTGGTTGACGTTTTGCACATCAATTATTATATTAAACTGGAGAGGCTACAGTTAAGTTTGTGTTAGGTATATCTCATTTGAGGATAATTTTCGCTGAAGTTAAGTAAAATATAGTTTCACAACTAATTAAGTCTATGACCTATAATATAATATAACTTATTAAAATAACAAATAATAAATGTAGAATTCTTTCGAAACCTTTTTTAATATAAAGTTTTGACAACACCTGAAGGTATTTTCCCTGCTTTAGTCATTGTTGTCAAGTTGTAAGAGTACAAAATATTAGGTTACACCCGAACTTAGTCCTTCCTTACTTGTTAAATTTGTTAATTTTTTATAAAAAATATCTATGTATTGATTTTGCATAAATGTCGGTAAATCATCAGATTATTTTAATAATATATAAGTAAATATAAAACGAATCAAAATGAGCAAATTGCAAATAAAAATCGAAAGCAACAGGAAAAACTATAAAAAACAATGAAAAATATAAAACTTATAAAAAACAGAACAAAATGGTAATCCAAAATAAGACAAAGTTATAATTAGTGCTCATAAATGGTCAATTTACGGTTAAACGACATAGGTATCTACAAAAACAATAATACAGGCAGATTTTTTTGCAACAAAAATGTACAAAAATAATAAAAAAGTGATGATTTGTAGTTTCTCCAATTAAATGGAAATAAATTAAAAGGCCAGTAAGAAAGGGCTAAGTTCGGGTGTAAACTAACATTTTATACTTTTGCAACTTGCAATGATTAAAGCAGGGGAAATACCTTCAGGTGTTGGCACTATTTCAAATTCTGCATTCAAATTTCGAACAAATCGTGAATGAATACGATCAAAATTGGTACTTTATTAAGTTGTACTATAGGTTATACACTCTGTTAGTTTTATAACAATATTTTACTTACTGTCATCGAAAATTATATTAAAATCATCCTCAAATGAGATATATTTGACATAAACTCAACCGAAAATTCTAAATTTAAAACACTGAGTTGATGTGTAAAACGTCAACGTCAAAGAGGGCAATTGATGATATAAGGGATATGAGGTTAAGACCAAGGTCTATATCAACTCCAATCATGTTCATCGGTTTGTTAGAATAACGGAAATTATTATTATACTATAATTTCACATATTTTCGGCATTAAACTCCAACATTATATACGTGGCCGAGTTGCCACGGTTTTATCTAATTTTGGCATTGCTACATATTACCGGAAGTTCGAAAACCTTTCAATTAAGTATATGGGGGCTAAGGGAAATATTGACTCGATTTAACCAATTTTTGGCATATATTACTATGAGGAAAGGATTCTCTCCTAATTTCAATGATATATCTCATTGACCGATAGTTTCAGTAGAAATTCAGTCATAGGGTCTGAGGTCCGCATTTACGGTGTCTGGGGGTTTGAATAGTTATGGTTTGATTTTGAAAATTGTTATACCTGACATGTCATACAATAAAGGCAATATTCGTGCAAAGTTTTATTTCGATATATTAATGATGATTGATTTGTATACTGGAAAGTAAAAATGTATAGATTTATCGGAATTTTAGCAATTTCTCACCAAACCATTGTATCGGGAGTGTGCGCGGTTATAATCCGATTTCACATATTTTCACGTGAGCTCAAGAAATGTCGAAATGATTTGTTCTGTGCAAATTTGGGTGATGTAACTTAAATAGCTTGGGAGATATATACATAAACCTATTAGGGGGCAGGACCTCGCCCACTTTTTGAAAACTTTCCTACCACAGGAGCTCCTCACAATTAGAGATCTGTTGTACCAAATTGCTGTTCTGTATCTCAATTTTCGGCTTAAATCAGGCAATTTATATGTTTTAGATTAATGGCGTTTTATGGACGTAGTAGTTATCCGATTACACCCATCCCGTCTATACTCTTTTGCCAAGGAACATGTGTACCGATATCTCCATTTTTACTGCAGTTACAGCTTGCACAGGCAGACAGACAGGTAGACAGTCACTCGGAATCCCACTCGTTTGCTCATCCCGATCATTGATATATATTTAACTCTATATCTATCTCTATTAGTTTTAGGTGATACAAACAAGCGTTAGGTGACCAAAACTGTTATACTCTGTAGCAGCATGTTGTAAGAGTATAAAAATATTCAAATTAAATACTGCAGGTACGATGACTTTACGTACATATGCCCATATGTATGTGTTGTTGTGTATATGTATGCATCAAAGCTAAACGCTTAACTAATGAAACAAATTCGCTGATATGTAGTATATATCTGTATGTATGTATTTGACCAATTGCCGCAGGTTATATTATATATGTAAGTAACTCCATGCTTCGGAAGACGCGCGGCAAGCGGGATGGCAAGGCAGTGGCGTTCAAATCTACACTAAAGCGAAACAGTTGAATAGTTACTACATATGATGCAAGGCATGATATGGGTTTTGAGGCTCTGCTGTGTAAGCGTGTACTTATGTATGTATGTGCCCAATTTACTCACCACCTCATTCGCTATGTCCGAAATATTACGACGCTTATCTCTGATCCGCGCTGATCGCCAATGTTAACTAGGTGTCAGCCGAAGAAATGTTTTTGCAATGGTCGCTTCGAAACCGACCGCACTTAGCCACAGGTCATGGGGGATTTATAGAAATTAGTAGATTGAAAATAGAAATACCTTCGATACGCTAGATAATCAAAAAAGGTGACCTTTCGTTGGTTGAAGTGAGCTGAGTAAATGACGCAAAATTGGTTACTGCGGAATAGATTGGTGCAAGCAGAGTGCCGAAAATTGAAAGTCAGCGTTGCGAGGGCTGACAACAACAAGAGTAGGCAACAATAAAAGCGATAAGAAATCCATCAGCTGACGAAGAGCGTGGAAGTGCAACAACTAATACAATTTACTAAGCCCAGCAATGTGGCGAATGCTGTAGAGGCGTTGCGGCTGGCTTGATGGTGCAGGGAGGTAGGAGTGCGTTGCAGTCGGGTTCATCACTTGCGTGACGTGATGTTAGACTTTTCGTTACTATAAAAGAAGTACGTCGTGCCACAGTGCATCAGTTCAAAGCAAAGCTTCAAGCAAATCAAACAACTTCAGTCGCAAAAACCACAACTATTCCAACTAAAAACACCTAAACAGAGAAATGCGTGGATTCATTGTAAGCATGTCTTCAGAGGATTATACACAACATAGATCTCCGCTAACATCTCACTTAATTTTCTTATATCCTCCATCCAGGTTTTATGTTTGTCCGCCGTGGCCATCGCTGCGCCACAAGGCTACAACTATGACCCAGCTTCTGCTGGACGTGGTGGTGCTGTCGCACATGGAAATGGTGGATTCGGCCAGTTCAGTCAGTCTTCCAGTGCTGGTGGTGGTTTCTTCGGCGGCAGCGGTATTTCAGGTGTTTCCAGTGGTATTAGCGGTGGACAAGGTGGCTTCTTTGGACATGGTGGCGCTGGCGTGCAACAACAGCAAGCTGTGGTATCAAAACGTTTCTTCATCCATACCGCACCTGAAGATGCCGAAGAGCAGTACCAAGAGAAACACGTGACCGTTGGTGTGCCACGCAAGAACTACAATGTAGTCTTCATCAAATCACCAAATCGTTCGCAAACAAAGGCTTCCATCAAGATTACACCCGCAATCAACGAAGAGAAGACCGTCATCTATGTGCTTAACAAGAAGACCGACGGTACCGATATTGACGCCCAAGTCTTGGAGCAGCCCGCTGTTACCACCAAACCCGAAGTATTCTTCATCAAGTACAAGACCGCTGAGGAGGCTCAACATGCCCAACAAGAAATTCAGGCTCAATACGATGCCCTCGGCGGCAGCAGTCAGGTCACCGATGAGGGTGTCATCCCAGTGAGCTCGGTCATCGGTTCATTGGGCGGCGGCGATGGTGCTGGTGCTCATGCTAGCGCTGGAGCTGGTGCTGGTGCTGGCATCGGTGGTGGTTTCGGCGGTGGTGCTATCGGCGGACATGCCGGTAACAATGCATACTTGCCACCCAATTTCAAATAAGCTGAGATAGTTTTTGTTTGTTGATATTTTAGTACTGTTGTTAAATATTTTTATAATCGCTTTACGCTTTGCGTTGAACCACAAATGAAGCGCAGAGCATTGTTGAAATAGTTGTATTGTTTACACTTTAATACGCACACATTTTTCGTTTGTCATGCGAGTGGTAAAGAAATAAATAAGATTTTTGTATGAATTGAGACTTTAAGCTTTTTGCAAATCAATATTATTGCAGGGCACACCAGTGACCCACTAGTATATCGGCTTCAAGCTACAGGTAGCGCAATCGAAAAAGAAACAATTGCGAGTTTCCAATTTTTTGGACTTTGCAAAATAGCAAAATCATAGCTTTGCCATTTGTTGGCTTTCCAGCGGCTATCGACGCCCTTCACTCAATATCTCGCTTCAAGTGACAAGCTTACCCGCCCCCACTTCATCACTCATTGAAGTTTTGTTTACTCCTGTCCGACGTAATGCGAAGCGGTTCGCTCGCGGCGCGTTTGTCAATCAACTGCGGTCAGAGATATTCGGAAATATTCACAATCTGTTAAGACATATGTGGCCTAGTAATGTGTATGTCTGTTATATGTATGTGTATGGGTTAAGACTTCCACCCTTTTTTTACTTCTTTTGCAATTCGCTTTAAATGTAATTATTTTCTTACAAAGCTATAATGGATGCTCAATATTAATTTATTTTGCAAGGCAGCAGGTTTGCCTCCCCTATCCGCCGCTAATACCGAGGTCGGTCCGTTTTTAACGATTTCCAATACACAGGTGCCCCTTCTTAATGTGATTCGTTGTATTAAATTTGAGCTCTGTATCTTATTTTGCGGCTTAGTTATGGCACTGGTCCGATTACGCCCATCTAAGTGCTCGTCCTTACTTTATTAGCAGGGAACATGTGTACCAAATTTCAATAAGATATCCTAATTTTTAATCAAGTTACAGCGTGCGCGGACAGACGGAATATATCTATTTCAATTAGTTTGGTGGTTTTTTACGTGATACAAACAAAACTATTATACTTTGTAGCACAAATTGCAAGAGTATAAAAATATTCGAATTAAATACTGCAGGCACGATGACTTTACGCTTATGTATGTAAGTATGTATGTATATGTATTTCTGTGTATATGTATGCCTCAAAGCTAAACGGTAAACTAAAGCAAATTCGCTGACATGTTGTACATATCTGTATGTATGTTTGTGACCAATTGCCGCAGGTTATTTTAAATATGTAAATAACTCCATGCTTCGGAAGACGCGCGGCAAGCGGGGTGGCAAGGCAGTGGCGTTGAAATCTACACTAAAGCGAAACAGTTGAATAATTACTGCCTATGACGCAAGGCTTGACGTGGTTTACTATGCGCTGCTGTGTAAGCGTGTACTTATAGGTATATGTGCACATACACCAATTTGCTCACCATCTCATTCGCTATGTCCGAAATGTAACGGAGGTGTCAGCCGAATAAATGTTTTAGCAACGGTGGCTCTGCAGCCGAGTGCACTTAGTCACTGGTCATTGGAGATTTATAGAAGTTAGTAGATTGAACATGGAAATACCTTCGATACGCTAGATAATCAAAAAAGGTGAGCTTTCGTTGGTTGAAGGGCGGCGAGAGCATCGAACTGAGTAAATAACCCAAAATTGGTTGCTGCGAAACAGATTGGTGCAAGCAGAGTGCCGAAAATTGAAAGTCAGCGTTGCGAGGGCTGACAACAACAAGAGTAGGCAACAATAAAAGCGATAATAAGTCCCTCAAGCGACGAAGAGCGTGGAAGTGCAACAACTAATACAATTTACTAAGCCCAGCAATGTGGCGAATGCTGAAGAGGAGTTGCGGCTGGATGGATGGTGCAGAGCGGTAGAGGGTGTGGAGCGCGGTGTGCTGTAATGGTGATGCGTTACAGTCGGGTTCATCACTTGCGTGACGTGATGTTAGACTTTTTATTGCTATAAAAGAAGTACGTCGTGCCACAGTTCATCAGTTCAAAGCAAAGCTTCAAGCAAATCAAACAACTTCAGTCGCAACAACCACAACTATTCCAACTAAAAAAAACTTAAACAGAGAAATGCGTGGATTCATTGTAAGCATGTCTTCAGAGGATTGTATACAACATAGACCTCCGCTAACATATCACTAAATTTTTTTATATACTCCATCCAGGTTTTGTGTTTGTCCGCCGTGGCCATCGCTGCGCCACAAGGCTACAACTATAACCCAGCTTCTGCTGGACGTGGTGGTGCTGGTGGTGCAATCGCACATGGAAATGGTGGATTCGGCCAGTTCAGTCAGTCCTCCAGTGCTGGTGGTGGTTTCTTCGGCGGCAGCGGTCTTTCCGGTGTTTCCAGTGGTATTAGCGGTGGACAAGGTGGCTTTTTTGAACATGGTGGTGCTAGCGTGCAACAACAGCAAGCTGTGGTATCAAAACGTTTCTTCATCCATACCGCACCTGAAGATGCCGAAGAGCAGTACCAAGAGAAACACGTGACCGTTGGTGTGCCACGCAAGAACTACAATGTAGTCTTCATCAAAGCACCAAATCGTTCCCAAAAGAAGGCTTCCATCAAGATTACACCCGCAATCAACGAAGAGAAGACCGTCATCTATGTGCTTAACAAAAAGACCGACAGCACCAATATCGATGCCCAAGTCTTGGAGCAACCCACTGTTACCACCAAACCCGAAGTATTCTTCATCAAGTACAAGACCGCCCAGGAGGCTCAACATGCCCAACAAGAAATCCAGGCTCAATACGATGCACTCGGCGGCAGTAGCCAAATCACCGACGAGGGTGTCATCCCAGTGAGCTCGGTCATCGGTTCATTGGGCGGCGGCGATAGTGCTGGTGCTCATGCTAGCGCTGGAGCTGGTGCTGGCATCGGTGGTGGTATTGGCGGTGGTGCCATCGGCGGACATGCCGGTAACAATGCATACTTGCCACCCAATTTCAAATAAGCTGAGATAGTTGTTGTTTGTTGATGTTTTAGTACTGTTATTGTTGTTAAATATTTTTATAATCGCTTTACGCTTTGCGTTGAACCACAAGTGAACTTTTCGTCTGCCATGCGAGTGGTAATGAAATAAATAAGACTTTTGTATGAATTGAAACTAAAAGTTCTTCTCAAATCACTATTATTACAGCGGACATTAGTTACCTACAAGAACATCGACTTTAACCTACAGATAGAGCAAAAACAAAATAAACAATTACGAGTTTTAAATAGTTTGGACTTTGCAAAATAGCAGCTATCGACGCACTTCACTCATTGTATTGTAGCAACATATTCGGCAATATCTCGCTTCAAGTGACATGCTTACACGCCTTAAATTCATAACTCATTAAAATTTTGCTTACTCTTTCCAACGTAATGTTTCAGGAGTTTTTTCTTCGCCGTATTCAGCTTATATCAAGGTCGCTTATATCAACCGCTCCTTTATTTTTTCGGATTGTAGTGCAATTACGAATTTCTCTTATGAAATGTAAACAATTTTTTATTCTTAGTCCGTATTAAATTGAAAATATGAATCTCTGCTATTGAGCATTTCTGCATTTCGTAAAAGTATTCAGGTGCAAGCGATGTCGTCAAGACGGACCAGATTTGGAACTTTAAAAACCTAAGTTTCGAGATTTTCGAAATTGGTATTGTACTTTTTCAATATCCAGCTGTTCAAAATATGATAGTCATTGAATTAACCGTATCGGTTGGATATGCTCGCTAAATGAACTTCGGAGCTCTTCGGGAAAGTTCACCAATTTTAGCCGGTCTCAAGCGATTTGGGGGATGAATGACTACTTTTGGGTATTCAAGTTGGTGTGTCATGATATTCAGACCTTCAGAGAGGTCCAATTTTAACTCAACGAAAGTTAAACCAATCGTCACCTGAAAATTTTGCCAAAAGCCGAGGTTACTGACATCGTATACGCGTTGATTATTAACAGACACACCAATGGGATCATTGGTTATACAAGTGTTTAAACTAAGCGGTTTAGTAAATGTTGTGTGTGATATCATTTTGAGAAGGGTTGCCATCTGTTATTCTTTTTTAGTAAATTGTTAAACTTCACTAAGCACTCGAAAGTTATAAAGACATTATTGCAATTTTAGTATTAAAATTAAAATTAAAAGTGTTGCCATCTGTTTCTAAATTGATATGAAAAAATAAATTCAATATAAGTACATCGGATCAAACGAATAGAAAGAACTCAAATTTCGTTATATATTAGAAAATCGTCTGTCTAAAGTATTATCATATAACTTTAATTACCACTAATATAAGACATTTGTCAGAAAATCTTAAAATGTTTGCAATTCTGACTAAGACTATAAACATGCACATAGTGTAGTAAGGAGTGAGTCCGAAATGAAAATCGAGTACAGGGAAGTACCATAAACCGTATAGAAAAGACTAAACGTATTGAAAAATTATTTACTATCTTATTATCATAAATTAGAGAATAGCCATTGCAGTCCCACAGAAAAATGGTATATATATGGTAAATGAAATCATGCATGGAGTGTAGTCTAATACCTCGTACTCTGCGCATCAAATCCAAAATCGCTTTACGAATATACATAAAGTTGTAATAATTACTGCTAACATAATTTCTTTTGTAATGCGGGTGCTATTGCTTTAAAAAAATATACCATTAATCATTACTGGAGTACTGAAGTAATGAAGTCGACGTCAGCAAACAGTTGAGCTCAGCGGTTAACAAATATGTATGTATGTATGTGTGATGGACTTATATAGATATCCTAACGCTACATAAGTCTATATCTACATATGTATACAATTAAATTATTACTTCCAAAAGTTAATTATATTTTTCGCATTCGCTTTTGCCAATGGGTCAAAGTGCTATTAGCTTACTTTCTTAATCAGTTATAATTGTTAAGAGAACTTCACATAATTGCTGAATGAGCTGGTCATTATTTATATATACGAAATCATTAACGGTACTTGCAAGTATATATAATAAAGTATTATATGTAAAAACGTATGTGGATGTAAGCATGTATGTGGAAAAGATGTCGAAATATAACAAATTGAATGCAATGACTAATTTCGAACTTGCTCTCCTGTGGTTTTTGTGTTGTGGAAGTATTAGCATTTTTTTTGCTTTTATTTCCATATTAATATTATTGAAGTAAACATAAATAAACTGGGTTTTGTATGATGGGACATATAAGTATTGTATATGTAAAACTAGGTTGGTTTTAGCATTTCACTGATTTAATAACGGCTTATCTGAGCATCATTTATAATAATAATAATAAGACAGCAGATTTCACGACTCGAATAGAGTATTGAGTAATTGAATATTTTTCTAACTAAGCAAAGTTGTATGGGCCACACACTTTAGATACCAAGCAACATCTCTAGAGAACGAAGAAAACCATAAGGCGAAATCCATATTCGATATAATTAAACTGTGATCGCACACGAGGTTTGGCTTTCAAATACTGTTGCTATAACTTGAAGAACTAATTTGCTTATATACTGACAAACCGACATGACTTAATCGGCTCAGCTCGTCTTGCTGATCATTTATACATACCTTTTTATAGGCCCCTTGCGATTCCATCTGGATGTTGCAAAGTTAGTGGCAAACTTAATATACTCTATTCAGGGTATTAAGATATGACAATAAGCATTTTCTATATACATACTCAAAAACACATCAGGTGTCTACCGTTTTTTTGTACCTTTCATTGCGACAACGTCCGGTGTGTTTTACTTGGGTACTTGCTGATGACAGCCTTACCCCACGGTTCTTCCCGCATTCGGGTATCAAACCATAACCACTACGATATTTCCCGAAGGGCTGCATGAGCAGATTGGAGCAAACTCCAAGGTCCCCTGCTTCCCGTGGTACCAGAATTAAGTCTTTGGTCAGACCTCGTAGCCGAAGCTAATACCTGTTGAGTTTCCATACTGTTCTGTTCCCCATACCGCCAAGATCCCTAAAGTACGAGTACATCGGGCACTCCACGATCACGTGAACCCACCTTCACACTGCGCCCCACACAAACATCCCGAAATATCAATTAGGTGCCTCTGTCGGACATACGTATTCGGAATGGCTCTCGGTTAGGGACTGCCAATTCGACACCATTCCTCAACATTAATTCGGAAACGCTTTATGTCATTGCAAAAACAATAACGTGTTTAAAATTTCGATCCGACAAATGGAGTAAACCCTCCGCCATACATTTCCCTGCAACTATTCTCATACAATCATCGACAAATATTCGCCATATTTATTGCCATTTAATATTGCAAATAATTGTCACAATTATTCTTTATCTCTTTGTGATTTTTTGAATGAATTTGTGTTGTGAGAGACATTAATTTCAATTCGCATTTGTTTTTGTCCAAGACAAGCAATAATTAATAGCAAGTTCCTTCTATCGACAATGGGTAGCAATTAACTTTTTAAGAGAGTCATTATCTGCATTATCGGCCTGATTTTAACGGTAATTACCCTAACTGTAATTAAATGTAACAATAGTGCGCGGGAATTAGCCTGTCAACATGTAATCACAAACAAATTTAGAACCCAATCCACAGACCTCCCGTCAAGCCAATGCTCTAAGTGTAACTGTTAAATAATTGAAACTGTAAATTGTCAATTTCAATACAATGATTACACCAACATTCAGCGACAAGGAAAACACGTAATTATTGCATCAAATGTGACAATTAATTACATGTCAATTGTGTGTCCGTTTAAACCCTTAAATAACTGCGTCACTGCGTTGCACAATACACAATAGAAATGGCCAACACTGCGACGATGTAATAAAACTCTCGACGCAGCAGAATAGACAATCAGAAAGCCAAAAGTGAAATATCACCACACAAAGAGCTCTAACTGGAACGCGTAAGCACTCGAGAGCCGGTTGACAGTCACCTTGGTTGAAGTTGAAGTAGTCGTAGTCGTAGGTGATTCCCATATTACCACAACCGGCCCATAAGTAGACGTGGACTCAACGCAAACAATGCCTGAGGATTTATTTAGGATACAACGCAATTGTCTGCGTGTAATGGGCCACCAAGACATCTTCGATAACAATGAAGCGCCGAGCGATCAGCAAAAATCGAAGTCGAAGCAACAGCGGTGGTGCCTTCACCATTGCCAAACGTTGAAGTATGTGCTGTTGTTGTTGTTTATGGTGTCGGCACAATTGCCAATGATGGATTACATTATTTATCATATCGACGATTTGGCATTGGCGACGGCTTGCCTAAGTATTGTCTTCACCAATGTGCTGACGGTCATTAAGACCTCAACATTTCTGACTTACAAGCGCGAGTTCAAAAGCCTAATGGCCGAGTTCGAAAGTATGTACGATGAATGTAAGTAGGTAGCAGTGTGAGCAAGTGTAATTGGTGTTACATAACTTTCGCTCTTCACTTGTTTATTGTTGCTATATTTTGAATAGTACACGAAGCGGGTGCCAAACGGTGTCTGGTGACGGTCAATGTAGGTGCAAAGAGATTTGTCAAACTGTACTTTTACAGCGTCTCATGCACGGGCTTGTATTTCACAATAAAACCGTTGGTTAGCATGACTTGGGCAAAATTTCAAGCTAAGCCGATAATATTGGAGTTACCAATGCCAATGAGGTAAGAAAATTATAAAAAATTAGATTGCATTTTTTGATTTCTTCGGTTTGAAATTAAAAAGTGTATCTTACGTTTATACACTTGTAACATGTTGCTACAAATTATAATAGTTTTGTTCACCTAGCGGTTGTTTATAACAGATAAAACTAATGCAGATAGATATATATATATTTTTTTTATATATATAACTGATCAGGATGGCGAGACGAGTTAAAATCCCCTTTTGACAATTTGTCTGCGCAAGCTTTAACTTGAGTAAAAATTGAAATAATGTCACGAAACTTTGTACACTTAGTCAAATCAGGAAGACGAGTTCGTAGATGGGCATAATCGGAATACTTCCACGCCCACAAAAAGTCATTAATCGAGAACGTATAAATTGCCAAAAACTAAGACAAAAACTAAGATACGAAACTGTGCTAGAGCGAATCGCATTAAGAAGGGCAAGAGTGGTTATAAAATCTTTTATAAAGTGGACGTAGCCCCGACCCCTAATATTTATATATTATTAAACGCTAAATTCGATAGTCTAGCCTTAATGCTTACTAACCTTTTGAAACGAACTTCTTCTTCTGATTACTTTTCAAGACTTCGAAGTGAATACCGAGCCTTAGTATCTATCATATTTGTCTAAGGCAGAAGATTACATATTTTAAGTGATATCGATTTCTGTTAACACGACCTTACGATCTCTTCATATAAGATATTAGACTTCGCGTTACGACAGAGAGTATACGTCGTGTTAGGATATTATTTCCCATTATCTAGTAAGTTGTAAGTGCTTGAATATATTTATTCTTCTTTCGGTCTGAGTGATGATTTCAATAATGTTATCTTATGCCTCAAGTCCAAATATCACTAACGGTACCATTGTCATGAACTATGATTTCAGGCTCGGGTACTGGTACGTAAACCGTCGAGATAGAAGACCAGTTTTTATGCCTACAACCCAAAATAATATTGACTAGAATGTCAATGCAATTCCCATTGCAGTCGGGTCTACATAATCGGGATGGTACCGAATTTATATTCGATCAAGGACTGCCGATTTGGCTGCCTCTTCCAATATTTTTGAAATTCTATCTGCCGCCAACAGAACAGCAGCTAGTTTAATTTAGCGAATTCTGTAAGCTTGTGGTGTTATTCCTGGCTTATATCCATTGAGTTACCTTACAGCGAATTTTTACCATAATAAGCAAGTTTCATTAATCCATTGATTTGTCATATACATATAGCCTCCGGACAATAGTTTTTAAGAAGTTATACTTTTGATCAATTCGCGTTCTCTCATATACTCCTATGCGTAATTTTTGCTTAAGACTTTTACTTAATTTCATTGGTTTTCAATAACCTCAATATTTACTTATTATTACATCGTTTATATTTTCCAAGTCATTAGTAACCTATTGCAATATAAATTTTTTTCTACCCCCTTCCTAGGTTTCCCTTCGATTTCGAGTCTACGCCGGGCTATCAAATCGCCTATATATACACTATATTCATCACCATAGTGGTAGTGATGCATGCAACATCTGTGGATGGTCTCTTCGTTTCGTTCACCACAAATCTGCGTGGTCATTTCCAAGCTTTGCAGTATTTCATCGAGACAAATACATTCGACAAATCCGAAGCGCTCCTACAGCGGGAACTTCGCATCTACGTGCAGTATCACGTGCAACTGCTGGAGCTCTCGAAAAGCGTGCAGCGTATATTCAAGCCAATAATTTTCGGACAATTTCTGATGACATCGCTGCAAGTGTGTGTCATTATTTATCAACTGGTGATGGTGCGCGCCTAATACCTACTCCTCCACCCAACGCTTCATTTTACTATTGTGTTATGGTCATCTATTTTCTATACTTTCTTTCTTCTTGTTGTTGTTGTAGAATATGGGCGTTATCATGGAAATGGTTATCTATTGTACGTTTCTCAGCTCAATTCTGCTGCAATTGCTGATTTACTGTTACGGCGCCGAGTTTCTCAAAATTGAGGTACACATTTTTTTGTTGCTATACGCTTATCTGTTTGTATGTATTTTTATTTTGGCAATTTCTTTCTTGACTTTTATTAAATTCGGGAATTTATTGCGGGGCAGAGCTCTGCCGTGAGTACGGCCATTCAGATGTCGCGATGGTATAATTTACCGCCTCGTCATCGTCATGTCTTTCGACTGATGATGCTACGTTCACAGCGTGAGATCATTATTAGTGCCGGGTTCTACGAGGCTTCGCTGGCCAACTTCATGAGCGTAAGTGCCACATAAAAGTGATGCGTCGTTTTCGTACTTAATTGTGTGGCAAGTTATTGGATAATAAATATTTTATCTGCAGATTTTGAAGGCCGCCATGTCGTACATCACTTTCATACAATCCATTGAGTAGTGTGAGATCAAAAGCAGTGAAAGAGTGATTGCAAAAGCAGCTGCACGTGAGGTCACCAAAATCTAAGCCTGCAATTAACTTAAGTTTATTTATAATTTGGCAGATATTATGAGATTGAGGCAACTTAATCCCTTTGAAGCAGTTTGCATGGATTTAAACCTTCGGAAAAGTGGTTATAAAAGTATGATCCTTTTAACAACATGAAATTTTGTAACTATGATTTCTCTATGGCTTTCAAGTTAATTTTTCAAGTAATATCAGAAGTTTCCGTTTGTTAAGATCAGTTTAAATTGAATTAGTTTAGATTATAAATGGATCAATATTCTAATAAAAATAATATATTGTCGGATTGGTATACGAGTATTGAATCAATATTGGAAATTTTTTAACAGACTTAAAAGATTGTTCGATTCAACAAACGCTGTCAACGAATACACATTACAAATATTATATAATGCCGGGCTCCACGTTCAATTTTCATCCGAAATATGTATTATAAACTGCTAGTACTTAAAGGCTTTGAGGGACAGCGGAGATATTCTTGATTGAATTAGGTGTTTGTTATCAACTACTTATTCTAGTATTATTTAGTCACAAAAATTAAAGAGTTTAAGTAAACTCTATATAAGTAAATACTATATTGAACGAAACAGCAATATATAATGCTGCAGATCTGAAATTATGTAATAATCTTCGAAACTTACTTCAAGAAAATGGAGGTCGCTAAATTCTATTCTAGAGAAAAAGGAATTACATAAGGTCTTTAGAAAACAAATCGTTCTAATCAAAAATTAATTTACTGGTCGATATTTTTGATGGCGTATCAAATCTATAACTTGAGCTGGCTTACAAAAGACACTTGGTGACCATAAAACTCTAAAAATATTGCCGTTTTTAATACGCCAACATCGGTACTATAGAATTTTTTTTAATCAAAAGGGTCACTGAAATTTCTTTTTCCTTGGAAGCTCAGTTGCATATTTAATCGTTCTTGGAAATACAACAAATATTTGTTTAATGCATTTGTAGTAGGCTTCATATGTTGCAATAATCTATTTCTATGTGTCGTATTAAAATCATGCTTGAATGCGAATGCTTAATCGCAACTTAGGAAATAGAAAATTTATGAAAAGGAAATGCTAATATGTTACTGTTATACAACTTCATAAATATTATATTTAGCCGTGTTACGTACCGCATATGTAATTACCGTTCTTCAGTATGATAACTTTTTTTCGTAACATACTTTTGGGAGGTAACAATTAGAAATTCGGTGTTGAGTTGATTCACGACAAATTTCCATTTTTGCTTCTATTTGGCAATTAGCACGATTTCCTCAGTTCCGCTTGTTCATCCGTCCGGTGAAGTTGAATTTTTTAGGTCGTGTATATTTTTTTAATATTTTATAAATGTGAAAATTTATATATAAAACTTGGTATGCATAGAATTTTCATTAAGATTGTAAAGATTTGTATGCCGTGATATCATGATCGAGTGTTGTTTGATATGTATATTTTTGGTTGAGAAAATCATGTTTATAAAATGGCGGTCCATTGACATGGAAGCTAAAAATGCCTTGTTACGTGATTTTTTATTTAATTATGAAAAGTTCTTATGATGCATTGCTAATGTACATATTTTTGTATATAAATAAGTACAAACACATTATAAAAATTATATTATATTGTTTGTATTATCAAAAAATATGTTATGTAATGTATATAAAATAAAAAAATAAGATCTTTATTTAAAATTTTTTTGACCAAATATCAAAACATTCAAATTTCAGTCGATAAAATACTTACATAACAGCGTAAATACATACATATCTTAACATAATCTTACGTTACACGTTGTATGCTAATCCAAAAATGAGGAAACAAGTGATAAAGAAAAATAGGAAACTTAAAAACTGTTATACTAAGTGAGATTTGTTTCCATTTAGCCAAGCTTTCTACCTTTATTATGTCTGTTGTGAAGCGAGTGTGAAATTATATTTCAACTATTGCAAGCTATTTTTAAGTAAGAGGTTTAAGTTGAAAATCTAAAAAACTTAAAAAGTAATTGGAAATAAATTTCCAATTTTGTATTGATTTTTGAATTATCTTAATTTCTCCAAGTCCGTTTGTTCATTCGCCCGGTGAAGCTGTGATTTCTTTGATTGTGAATTTTAGTGGTTCATATTCTGAAAATGTGACTTATATAATTAAAAGTTTGGTTTAAATTTGTGTTCACTATAATATTAAGATCTGCAAGAACATAGTAATACTTTTGTAATGAATTAATTAGCGGCTATTGCGTCCTTCTACGACCGGACCATAAACAGCTGATTGACTTGTAGCAAAGAATTAAGTGCAAGTAAATTTCGAATGATGGAAGGAAGTCAAGTGAAATCTTTTGTATATGTTTAGTAGTATACAACTATTGGCTTCTACTTTCTTATTAAAATAATTTGAGTAATTTAGCATAAAAAAATGCAATAAAATTAAATAAAATTTGATAAAAAATAAAAATAAAATAGAGAAAAAAAATATTGCAATTATTTTATAATAAATGTTTTTTTACACATTCATTGTAATATATCTACATATATTATTAAATATATAATCACTCGTTTATGGCAGCTTAATGAAAGTAAACTATTTAAAATTGTATTGTAATTAATCGAAAAGAAATACTGTGCACTAAAGAAAATCTTTCCGGCCCATTTCTTCTATAATTGGTGGATGTAGTCGCTACAGACTTTTTTTATCAACTTTTTTGTTTAAATTACTATATACACATGTATGTACATTTTAACGAACATCGTCTTAGTCTCTTAGGCTAATTTATTCAAAATTCAAGTGCAATCTTCTCACAATTTTCGATTTCTTTCCAGGAAAACTAGTTGAAGAACTGTACATATTCCCGTAAAATGTTTCAAACAGCTTCTTCGTTGACCCCAATTTCATCACATTCCTTAAATCCTTTCTTATTTAGGGATTTTCCGAAATAAAATGAAGTTCTTTCGGCCTACCAAATACCTATGAAGCGATCTGTAATTTGATTTCAACATCCAACTTGGACTCTACTTTGCGATGTGCAGATTTGCAACGCACCAAGCTTTCTACTAAAATCACTCTAGTGCGTGATTTCTTCGGAATAGCAAGTATTATCTCTCCTAATAAATAAATAATGCACTTTCGTCTATTATTGAACAAAGAAAATATTTAAATGTTTTTTTTTTGTATTAAAGTATATTCGTAACTTAAAATGTGTATCGAAAAACAACTCAATGCTTAAATGAGTAATTTTTAAAATAATATTCACCATTATTTAATGTAGAAAAGGGTAATTTTTCATAAATAATTTTTTTTCCAACATTCTATATAAATTTTAATAAAACATAAAATTTAATATGCGTCCCCCTAAATAATAATTCTTCACTATGACAACCATTTCCATATCGATAAAACAAATAACGGTGCATAAACGATCTGAAATAGCAATTTTGTGTGCATAATTCAGTGAAATGAGAGTGAGTGAGTGAAATACATGGAATAAAAAGTGTCCATTCGCTAAAGAGACTTTTATTTAAATACAAAGTGAGAAAACGGCAAACGTTTAACTTTTAAATGCAAAAACGGGAAAGTGAAACTAAAAACAGTGACATTTCCGATGGAAATAAAAAAATTGCAATTGAAGAAAACGGTAAATTATGAGCTGATGCGCCAAATGGACGCAGTGAAAATGATAAAGAAATTGAAAGAAATGTTGTAAATGTAAGAAAAATGACAGATAATAGCACAAGGGATTGTGATATTAACCCTGACAACGAAGGCGAGCACACTAGCGAGGATAATTTACTTGGGGACGAGGAAAATACTCGTGATATTGGACCAGACTGTGTTGTTCCTTGTGATACTGCATTCAATGTATGTGTCGTTGAAGAGAAATTGAATAGTGTTAGTCTCGACTGGCATTTATTGGACGATGTCGAAGTATATAGAATCGAAAAATATCACCGACGACGCGGCTGGGAGCAAGTCGCTTGGTAGGCACATTTAAAACAAATTCACACCATAAAGTATGACAAATATTTTCAAAGGGTAGGCACTGCACCTACGACCATTGAAAATTTGGCCGAGAATTTCACATATCGGTTGCGCATCAAGGGACAGCGCTTTTCTGATGCGCGTGGACTATTTGAGGATTGTAAAATGTCACCAGAGTTTTTGGTAACTACCATTAAGTTTTATATATCCGTTCCTAAAACTTCTACTTCTAATATTTAGGCCACCACTTTGGCACCTTTGCCAACCACACTGTGCCTACACCGCGCTATCAAGAAAGGTCAACAGTTTTTAGTTAAACGTATACTACGGCGACGAGCCAGCTTAATGGATTATCCCGGTCCGAATAGTTACTTGCCGCTGGCGAATGCCATTATGAGCGGTCAACATTGTGTTACCGATGTGCTGCTGAGCCATGGCGCTAGTGTACATATCGGCAATCCGCTTAATGGACGCACTCCACTGCAGGTGAGTGTGGGTTTTTAGAAAGAGAAGAGAAATTCGGAGATAGTAACGATAAAAGCGTTAAGCTCACTTAACTCAACCCCTTACCCAAAGTAAAAAACAAAAAAATATCCACAGAGCCTCCTCACGTTAACAAGAAGCGTTTTCGTTAAATTTATTTCGCTTCGAGCGTTATTTAAACCAACAACTTTCATTTCAGAGCGACGAACTCTTATACTATTGTACTGAAAAGTGAAAATTATGAGTTCCTAATTTAAATTATATATTTTACATATGTTGAAGATCAGTACAAACAAAACATTGATCACTTTCAAGAGTGCAAAGATTATTTTGCGCTCCCACAAATGAAACGCGTAAGAATGTTATATAGTATTACCGTTTAACAAATTTGAAATTTAACACATTCTAACTTCAAACGCGTCTCCTGGTCTCTCCTATGCATGCAGCTCGCTTTCTACCATGGCCGCTTGGCCGTCGCACGCATTCTGCTAAATCGTAAGGCACAGCTTGAAGCCACTGACATTAATGGCATGACTGCTTGTCATTTTGCCGTCGACGCTAATCAATTGGAACTGCTTAGATTTGCGCTTGAAAACGGTGCCAATGTGAATGCAGCGGATGCTTGCGGCTGGTCATTACTGTCACGTGCAGGTGAGTACAGTTCACGTTCGAGGCGATTACGTAAGGCTGTTGCAGCACATTTGCATTTACAATTTGCCATTTACAGTTGTTATGGGCGCTGACGCTTGCGTTCTTAAGCTGTTGCTGACATTCGGTGCGGATGCCAAGTCCGTGGATAAACTGGGCAAGACTTGCGTGGATTTGGCGAACATTTACAAGAACACTGTTGCGAGCGATTATTTAGTGAAGGCCTTGCGGCCTAAGTAAAATTAGTAGGTAGTAAGAGTATTATTTACAAGTTCTTATAAAAGTATAAAGTTTTGGTTTTTATTGTATATATAGTATAACCTTCTTGTGCTAGCTAACTAATCGAGATAGATATGGAGTATATATATATATGTAAATGAAGGGGATGACTAGACGAGTTGACATAAGATAAAATGTCTTAATGAATATTGGTACACGTATTCCCTGGCACGTTTACCATTCCCAAGGGGGTTGGCATTACAGATGGACGAAATCGGACCATTACCACGCCCAAAAAATGCCGTTAACCGAAAACGTATAAAGGGTGTGAAAATTGAGGATATCGTATAAAGACCACGTCCACTTTCCATAAAACGGTTATGTTGATAATTCACTAAATATGTGAAATGCGTTAGAAACATTTACTTTGGCATCCAAAATGGCATGAAAGGAAACGGTATAGAAAATTGGAAAATGCGCGGTGGCCCACCTTTAGATAAAGGAATTGCTTAACTAATTTCAAACAAATTAGGCAGTTAACATTATCAAGTCATTCCTGTGTAACAGTATTCTAAATTCCATTTATTCAAGTAAAACACAAAGCAATATATTGGGCACAATATATTATTCACAAATAGGGCTTTTATGATATGCTATCTCAAGTCTAAAATTGATCAGAATCGGATAATAATTGTACCATCGCCAGATACCGAATACTTATGTGAATATGCCGATGGCAGACTTTTAACGGAAAATATTGGTTAATCTGTGAGATATATTATTGAAATTCGGAGAGAGTGTTTTCCTGTTAATAATGTACCCATGTATCAAAAATGCGTGAAATCGACTCAATATGTTTTCTGGCTTCCATATAATTACAAATATATATATATTATTAGAACTTTATGTTGACTTTTTACTGTACTGTAGTCAATCTGCGAGGTTTCTTCATGAAATACATAAAAAATATTTTTTTTTGGTTAAATCGCTCAATATTTAAGATAAGATATCAAAATTAGTATTAGATAGATTATATTTAGTTTAATGAAAAAAATGGGTAAAATTGGTCCACGAATTATCCCAACTACCATATATTACATACTTGTATAATGATTTTCGTTACTTTAGCAGACTTTATGCCGCATAAGTCGGTCAGTGTCTGTTATCTTTAATTTCATGGAAACATGTTTCCGAATATACTTGAGTAATATTACATGTTAATGCAGTCAGTCCAGACCTTCTTCTAGCTCAAATACACCTGCTATAATGATCTCCGACTATCTTGCTAATTTTAAGACAGACTTTATTGTGGTCGTTATATATGATATTTCAATAATTTCATAAAAATAATGTGGTTTAGCGCTGAATATAAATAAAGGTCTAGAATTTAATATTCCGAATATGAAGTTAAATAAAGTAATGATGCTTAGTGAGTCTAGAACCGCTAATTTATTAAGATACCAAACATGATTGTAATTCTTTCAGCCTCGTGTCGAATAATTAATGTTGAATTCTCTCGCAACATTCCTTAATATAAAGTTTGGCCGGCCCCTGAAGTTATTTCCAACGGGCAACGTAAATTGCATGAATAATATATTTAATGATTTGTTTACCACATGGTGAAAGTCGTAAAAGTACAATATCAACCTTGACAAAAAAAATTACACCAAATATTAGTTTCGAACCTGCCAATCCTAAGCCATACGATTCACGAGTATTTGACTTGTCTCTACAAAATGTGATTCTGTCAAAAAAGGTTCTTTCTAAATATGGTTTTACCGGCTAACATTCTAAATAGTAAAACAGTTGCCTGTTTACGATGAACCAGCATTTAATTTGTTAATAAAATAATACCAGATAATATCTGGTGCAAGGAAGCTCTTCTTTGGTATTGCCCCACTCATCGCTGAACATTACATGATTCTAAAACGTAAATATAATTTTGCCACATATAATATTAGTTTTCCAAAGTTCACTGATCTTAATTCTTAAATATACTATATATATAATATTAAAAAAGCATTTCTTTGCATCTTCACCTCCTCATTTGTGTGAAACTTTTCTCTAGTTAGCGTAAAACAAGAAACGAGTATTTTTTTGGTTTGGATATGGATTTTTTGTATAACCAAAAATAAATATCTTCTCTTCGCTTTACTAAGTCTGTTTTCTAAGCCGAAAGCATCTGTCTAATGTACTACATAGGAAGCTACACAAAATACCTTAAATTATTTTTTTCCGTGCAATACTCGTTAATGAAATATATATTCAGATGTCATATACTTATATGTTTTTAAAGAGAACTAATTTACTCTTTTCTTGAAATAGTTGATTACAGTTTTATAATCTATTTCATATTTATATGATTTCGTAAGTGTATTCCAAGTCTTATCGATGAGTTTAGCAACATTTTGAGCTACTTTTTTGTTGTTTCCAATATTTGAAAGAATATTGCTATGGAAGTACAAAGCAAAACAGATTCAACAGATCGAAAAACAATGACAATACTTACATACATATATACATACGAAACTAAATGCTTATCACCCAAAGCAGCGGAGATACATAATTGTATAGAAGTGAAGCTCACTGCTCGTTCGATTAGCTTAAGTTCGCAGATTAGCGCCACAGCGTGTCAGTGGCAAGTGACTAGTGGTGGCAACATTTGCATTGTATCAGCGCTCGTAAATTGTGTGTCACGCTTAAATTAATAAAGTGAAAATCGCGCGAGTAGAGCACAAGTCGAAAGTATACAAGTCACGCGCTTTATGTAAATAACCGAATAATTGCCAAAGTTTTTGACACAAATCAAAATTGAGTGGCCGCGAAGTGTTCACCAAAGAAGTGCGGTTTGCGCGCTACAGAGCCCAACTAAGTTTCGTAAAGTTGAATAAACTATTAACGGTTTATGTGAGTGATAGTGACGTGAGTGCATTAGATTTGTGATTCATAACAATGTTTTCGCTTGGCCAGAACATTCATCAATGTCGCCACGGTCACAGACGAAGCGCACATTTGACACACAGCATCCTGTTATGCGCTCTGGTGGCGCTCATGCTATGCCTGACTGTGGGTGGGGACGATTTGAGAGCATATAAATATGTTTCCAGAGCGCGTGAAAGGCAGCTGGAGAATCTGGCCATACGCATAAATGAATCCGTCAACCCAAATAGATATCCGTGTGAGAGCTTCTACGATTATGTCTGCAGTTATAGTAAACCGTTATTCACGATACTGGGTGAGTACATGCATATATACAAGGATATAAATTTACATATGTACATGCAACTTGCAGGTCATTTGCCCAAACTCGACGATCTCATGAAGCTATTTACCGAGCTGCAGCAAGATCCCGAAAAATGTACAGCCAAAGACAAGATGTTGGCTTTTTTCGTTTCCTGTACCTCGAAGAAATGGCTGGAGGATTGCTATCGTGAAACATTCGAATATTTTAAGCCACTCTTTGGTTACATCATCAACAAAAATCATGTCGGCAGCAATTCGGCCGAACATCAGACCTTCTTGCAGCTACTTGATACTTTTCTGTACAAGGCCGCGCAAACGCACAACTTCATGCATCATCCTATACGTCATCGCTTGCTGACGTTGAAAGAGAAATTCCGCTTGCCGCAGATCTATTTGCGGCCGCACGAATTAAGCGAGGAGTACGAAACGTTAATGATGTATCCCGAGAGTTATAAGCATAATGTGCGTAATTTAGAGTTGCATCGCAGACGTAATTCCACCTATGAGTTGGGCGTCGAGCGCACCATATTGGATTGGTCATTGTATTTGTATCAGAGTCGCAATATGCCCATGTCCTATTATTATCCCACATTAAATGTACATCTGTGGATGACATTGTACAATACGACGGAGCGTGATCGTGAGCCGAAGCGTGTACATGAGCTCGCTGAGTGCTTGAAGTTGCCACCGTATGTACACGTGCTGGATGAGGCGCGCGTTTTAGCTCTGGTCTATTTGAAGGCTTTTCAAAATGCTTGGGTTGATTACAGTACTTGGATTAAGCCCGATCGTGCGAGTATAAACAATGACATCTATGATCATGAGAATAGAATACTGTCGCGCTATAAGTTGGATAACAAGAAGGTTTTCTTCATTTTATATGGACAGAATTTTTGCGAGTTCGGTAAAGAGTTGGCAGAGAATATCTTCTATTTGGGCATGAAACAGAATCGCGATTTCTCCGAAAGCTTCGATTGTGTATTAGCACCAGAGCCGCGTATGCCATGTAACGTATAGACGTGAGCTGTGTAACATTTACTAGAAATTAAATTATATAAAAAACAAGATATTGTCAAGTTTACTTACAAACTCTGAATTATAAATATACAAATTGGATTTTATTCTTTCTAATATGTAGTTGCTATCCAGAGTTATAGTCCTACTATAGCTATATTTCAACTTACTGAGACCATACAACATTGCTTCAAACTTGATACTAGCCTCAGCTACTATTTCTTTGCAGAGAGCCTTCTTTGTAGGAAATATTTTTCTGAGAGCAGCAGCACACACTATTCTTTTTCATTTCTCTCTCTCTCTCTCTCTCTCTCTCTTCGTATGCTGTGGAACTCGAGATCTTTTGCAATTTATTTTTGAGAATTCCCGCTAACATTTAGTTGTTCATTAGAAAATGTACCGGGCCGCAATGTCGTGAGTGAAAGGGATGTGCATGGTTTTCTCTAAATTAAATCTTTCCCTTGTCATAATCACTCTACAGGACCCTTGTTTGCATTAATTTTTCGTTTTCGACTAAGAGTTAAAAAAATAATAGCAGGAAATATAACTGTAAAAAAACTTTATAAAGCCAATTAGTCGTTCTTTGATTTAAAATAAGTAAATTCTTAACTTAGGTGATAAAAAAGTAATTCCCTGGATTCAAAGCACTTTTGTTTAGTAGTGCACTTAGTATTAGAGTTTTCATTCCTCTCCCATGTCCAATATATGTATGTCCATTTACTAGCTTGTATCTCTGACACTAACTCTAAAAATCTAATTATTTCCTTGAATTATGTTGCTTTTCGGTTTTATAGTTAGAATATTTATTAAATTTCAGTGAATAAAATACTTGCTGCATACAATTTTGGATCAAAAATCCCATACTTACAGTAAATATAGCACAGATGAGCACACATAACCTCATTTGGCAGAAATTTACCTGCACCAATATACATACAAAGCTGCATATATGCATATAGAATTATCTGTGAGCGTTACATTATTTAAATTGTGTGTATTAGTTTTGTGGTATCCTGTCATTTTGCGGCTTTACAAGAGCCACCTACTGAGGTGCTCAACCGGACCGAATACAACGGACATACGAAGTGCTCTTTCAGACACAATTTGACAAACAGAAATCCACCTAACTGTACATGCACTTCAATACCGCTTTGCCTCTATGTTTGCTGCAAGTGTGAATGGCGTCTGTTTACCTTATGCAAGTCCCACTTTTGTGCAAATTCTATTTATTTAAGATGCAAGCCAGCACGCAGAGACCACTCGGAAGCCGCACCTAGATTACAGCACCATTTTTCGGCAAATCTCCATGAGCAGAAGCGACGGAACGAACTGAACTACTACAATTTAGAACTTAATTTTCCAATTTCCATATGAGGGTGCCAACGACAGAGTTGGGAGTGAGTTGGAGAGAGAACGGTGGGTGTGAGAGCGTGGGGCAGAGGTGTAGTTCAAATCGCAAAAGGTTATGTAACATTTGTCTATGCAAACTATTTGCTATCAGTGTTGCCGTCGGTGCACACATATGTAAGACCACACACTGAAAAGTGCAAAGCTGCCGAGGAGAGGTGGAATTAGCACAAGAATCTGCTGACTAGTAGCGCGTTGGTGTTGAAAAGCCAAAAAAAAAATAAAAACACTTTCAAAATGTTAATAACAAGTATGCAGTCTAAAATGTAAGTGGGGCGTGAAGTGAAGTAAAGAAAGAAAGCTGCAGCACATTGTGCCAAATATATCAAACGAACTAACGGAAAATGAAAAGGCATTCCGTTAGCTACTTATAAAGTGTGTGTATTTGTGGGTGTGAGCGTACGCGTTTGGCTGGACTGCAGGCAAGTTGCATACTTTATGGCGTTTAGCCAGCATGCTGCTGCATAGCCAAAGCCGTTAGCCTTACAGAAACACACAAAAGCGCACACACACATACAAACATGGTACAATATTATGCATTTTATTTTTATGTTCTCAAGTTAAGTTTTATTTTCGTTTTCGTTTTCAAATTTTTTTCCGAGATTTTTATTTTTGGCAGTTTAGTTTTTGTGTGGAACTTGAAATATGAGCACAAGGGAAATTGCATTGCCAGTATGCAGCTTTGGCTCCGCCACGCTTCAACTCTCAACTCTTTAGTTTGCCAGCCAAGCATGCAATTTGGAGGGATACCCATATCAGAGGCTTCCAACCAAAAGTGGGTCCGCTAGTGTGTGCGTATGAGTTCCCTTTATAGAACAGCATAAAGCCTCTTGCATATAACTCAACGGTACATGTAAATTGTTGTATATGCAAATATATATATAATATATATATATTATATGGTTGTTGTTGGATAAACAAAATATGCCCTGCTTGGTAACGGTTTGCTTGCTTTCTTTACTGGTAAATATGCTTATCATACTCATATCTCAGCATTGCACTGACGCCTTTTTTGCCAAAGTTAGTCATATAACAACGCACTGTTATGCAGCGAAGTGGAAGTAGACGTTCCGGCATTGGTGCACAAAATGAGCTGGTTGATAAAATATTTCTGGGAAATTTTATTTGGCTTTCAGTAAATCATATAAAAATTTCGACTACGTTTATCCATATTTCCTTTCAAAGCTTTGATCTTTCGTTTTGAAGGAGTGGTAGTTGAAGCACTGATTCAAATGGTACGGTAAAACATATCTATTGAACGATTTAAAAATAAGCAGTGAGATTTTTATTCCATGCAGTAAGCATAACTAGTGTGAAATTTTGAAAAAAATATTTGTTTCATATTCCGAAAGTGTAACCCTTAAAAACTAACATACCTATAAGTATATTTAAAATTAATTACAGCCTTCTAAAGTGTAACCGCTCAGTTCTATTAGCTTAACCAGTTTGTCTTTAAAAGCGTTTTTCTTGAAACAGCACTTTTCGAATTTGCTGCCGTGATTACTCGCAGACAAATGACCCGTTTTGTGAATTGATCAAAAAACTAGATTCGTAAATTTTTTTCAACCATAGGTCATAGTGTGGACAATATCCTCTAGTAGTGATTTTTTGGCTTTCATCTAGAAAAGGCCGGATCCACTGCAGCAGTGAAGTCGTCGATTATCGCTTATTTTTGCAACTGTCCGCAATAATATTATGTATTAAATGCTGCTAAAATGGTAAACAGGTTTAGCGTATGCTATAAATCGCTACAAAGCTCAACACCTATGGAAATAAAGTATATTTGTTTGCTTTTTATTTAAACCACTTTTCGTAATTGTTCACAAACAAAAGGCGTTAAGAATCAAGAAAAGTATGAAAAGTGCGGAAATTTTAGATTTGATAAACGAATAGACTTCGAGATATAGTCGAAACAACTGTGTTTAATATCGATTTAGAGATATTAAAAGGAATTTTTGGTAAGACGATCAGATTAAGAGAACTTTTTATACTTAACTCCTCTCGCATTTTTCGTATTTCACGACGGTAAAATGGTGTTAAAATAAGTATTTGGCTGTTTTAAACATGTATTTCAGAATTATTGTTGATTTATTAAACTAGAAATTTATGAAATTTAAACTGCAATCTTAACATAGTTAGATATCATAAGCTGAGTAACTGAAATAAGCAATTAAAGTGTACAGGAATTATGTTGCTTTAATTTTGAAAAAGTTTGAAATATCAAAAACATCATCACACCGGAAAGGTGAAATTAATGCAGAAGATAATAAAAAGTTTGAAATTATTTCGAACAATATACTAGTGTAGTTACATAAATTGGTATTCTAAGCCTGATTTGGGTGGATAAAATACACATAAATTCAAATACGCAATTATACCACTGAAGTCTATGCTTTATGCATCTATAAGTATTTGGCAGCTTATTTAACCGTCTGTGATTCTTTAATCCTGACCTATTTTGACACAGTCAGGAAATAGAATCTGCTCTTCGTTGTTAATATGTTAATGTTATTATATACCATATTGTATTTAATTGAAAGATATTAATTAATGAAAGACCATACATTGTAGTAATACAATAGCCTTACCTTACCTGAACTGAAGGTCTTACTTCATATAATCTTATAATATTTACCCAAATTTATTGCAACATCTTTTTTATTTTAGCTTTCCAGTGGAAAAGTCAAACAACGAGATTAATTTCATATCTTATTATTTGAAAAATATTCTTGGCACTGCTTCAAGTTTGTGTAGTTCATAACTTTGCTAAGGGGAACCGTAGCAACAGTGTATTATTTTTTACATACATTGAGCAAGAAATGTTTTGGATTAACATTTTTAATTAGTATTGGACGTTGTGGTCTGTATTTTCTTTAAATCATATTTCTTCAATATTTTAGGCTTCGCGTCAGAGACAGAATTGTTTAATATTTTAAGTCAATAAATTTCTATTTAAAAATTTTCAATTACTATGTGAAGATACATATTTATACCATGAACAGGGTATATTAAGCTTGCCACAATGTTTGTAACACTCAAAAGGAAACGTCGGATACGCTATAAATCACAAATATGGCTGATCAGCATGATCAGCTGAGTCGATTTAGTCATGCCTATCTGTATATAAGCGAACTAGTCTCTCAGTTTTTGAGATTTTAAACCGTCCTTTTCTCCCCAAGAAGCTGCTCATATGTCGGAACCGCCGATATCAGACCACTATCACATATAGCTGTAATACATTCTGAATTAGCGGAATCAAGTGCTTATATGGAAAGCTTTTTTATTTGACAGATCGGATCACTATAACATAGAGGTGTCATACGTACTAATCGATCAAAATCAAGTTCTTGTAAGGAATCGTTTGTATTTGTAAACGGTATTATAGCTTCGGGGCAACCGATTTTAATGTTTTTTTCTGATTTTTTTCCAATCACTGAGTTACTTTATTTAAGCAATATATGCATAATCAATAATCTCACAAACCGCAAGGCTGACTTGGTTATAAAAAATGCAATTTACAATCGATATTTGCTTTCGTAATCGAATATTACCCTTGTGGGTGAATTAATATGATTTACTGATTAAAAATTAATTTCGAACATTTTAATATGCAATCAGGCCAAAGGAACGCAGAAATGTCTTCATGTCCACAGCAAACAGATGACTGGTTTCTTAATTACGCTTTATTACAGCATTTTACCGTTAATGCT